GAACTCAGAACCTTGCACTTGTAAGGCAGGCAGCTGCATCACTGAGCTAAATCCCCAGCCCTTAACCCAAATTTTATAGTAATCTTATCTACATGTAATTTAACAACAGTTGTTGGGCATTTCAAACTATGTCATTATAGTAACAATTATGTTTTGTACAGACAGACTTTGGGATAAATTCATTTGGCTCCTTGCAAATAATTCTAAACATGGAGAAATGTACAGTTATACTAGAGAATAACCATCTAGCTGGGAACATTTAATGTCCCATTGACATCAGTCATTATTATACAGAAGCAATAAGGAGAATCAGTTATCTTTCATTTTCAGTCATGTAGAGATTAACAACACCTATATTAATAATCCTCACAACAACTCTGCAGGAGAAAATATTATCCCCATTTCAGAAAGGAGATTTGATTTGCCTGAGATCTCATCTGCTGGCTTTTTACTGAGCCAGGACCAGGAACTTGATGTGGGTTATTTCAACTACATAAAGTCCACAAAACCATGATATTTCTTATATAATCTGGATGTGTTTTAGATTTACTTTGTGTATTGTCCATGATTGTGAGTTTGTATACAAATTCTGCAGTGGTAAATATTGTTTCTGGCTCCCTTATTTATTTTTTACCATGAAGACCATTACTGTTGGGTAAACAGTGATGACCCAGTAAAAAATATAGCCAGTCTGAATTTGGGGGTTTGGGGAGACTTTCTTGTGTAACTCCAAAGGAGAGTTTGAGTCCACTTTATTGAGCTGGGTCTTTTATGGATAGAGTAGGGGGTTACTGGGATCGATTTAGGTGGAGTGATGTGAAGGGGGGTTTTGAAATTGGGGGGATGAGAAAGAATGAGCATGTGGCCATAGCAATGGGCACTGTGACCTTGCAAGTAGGGTGGATATCACATGTCTTAGCAGAAGAGGCATTGTTCCTCGGCTCAGGTGTTGGGGATCTGCAGTATGTAGGAATGGACTGTGATTGTTCTCAGAACTCAGGAACTCATGTGGCTGCTGTGGGGGTAGATGGGGGTCAGACCTATCAATTATTTACCATGCTTTTTGTTTTTATTCCTTTTTCTTCTTCTCCATAGTAGTCAGCTTTGGCTTTATCTGGATGCTCTCTCACTTTGTCTTTAGGTCACAGTTTACTTAGTGAAGTTAGCTTGTCTCTGAGCAAACACTCTCTCATTCTTGAGAGGTACAGCCTATCCCTACCCAGGAGCTTAGATTTAAAGCCATCATCTAGAAAGCAAAACCTTATTCATCATAGATGCGTTGCCATTGTTTATTTCATATTTTCTTCGTTCCTTTTCAAAAACTACATCCTGTCCTCTTAACTGTCTTGATTTCCTCTTCATAACTAACTTATTTTGTGATGCTTTTTTTCCCCTAATGGTGCATTCATCCCTAAGTGAATCAGCACAAGTGAGATCAGATTTAACAAGTTTTGACATAGCTTTGATGAACTTTTCACACTTTATAGATACATGATCCTATAGAAAATGCATCTTCTGGTTAGCCACATCAGTGACATATGCATTGCAACAGTAGTTATCACTACCATCACTTTTCTTATCTCCCAGAATCTTCATAAGTCAGTTCTACTGACTTGTGTTTCCTTTCCAAAGGAAAGGAAAAGCTGTCTAGAACTTCAGTGGTGCAGAACTGGTACACACCTCTGGCACATATTTTTGTAAAGTCAGTTTTCTGATTTTCATGTTGGCCTTGTGTTGTATTTTTCATTAGAATTCCAATCTTTAGAGAGTCTTTAACAACTCTTAGAAAAGTGCCTTAATAAGTTGCTTGATTCTCCAGACTCTCAAGAGTATTTTTGTGAGCTGATTTTTTCATAATCTATTGTGTTCACTTCTTTCTAGGCACAGTGAGTTGTTATCCTTAGCAAGTCTCTAGTATACTTTCTCTAATTGGGGGGTATTTAAAAAACAAAGGAACCTTTAAGGAATCTTAATGAAACCGTCTTTTGTTCTTTCTAACAGCTGTTATAAGGACAAATTAGCCTGTTGATTCAGACTCTGAGCTACATACAATTTGAGGCAACTGCTTTAACAACCCTCTCTGAAAATTCATACCTAGCATAGACCTGTGACACAATAGTGCATCATCACTTCATCCTTCCAAGTGTTCAGGAAAATTTTTCTTGATTCTTATCATTTTTCATACTTGAAAAAAATCTTATCAATTCATACTTAATGCTTATCTTTTTTCTCATGTCCTCATATCCAATTTTTCTAATTTTATTCTTTCCCTTCAAAAAAGTATCCAGAATGTGATCGTTTCTCACTACATCCACCCCATGATAAGTGTATTAAATAAGAGGAGTTATTTGTGCCTTTCTCCTATCTGTTTTGGGCCATATACTCTCGCCTATTGCTCACAAGGAGCTTTTACTTTGAAAACAAATTAAAGAAAGGGATTCCTCTTCCTCTCACTTCCTGTTGTTGTTTCTTGTTTACTTTGAAAGGGGGAGGGAAGGAGGGAGAGAGAGAACACACAAGAGAAAAGTCTGAAGGTATTAGATATTAGGTTAGTGATAAAAGCCTCATGTACTCCTTGAAAGACCTTAACCCTTGCCACCAGAGTAGCTTTGGGTATGTACATGTAGGAGGACAAGAGAGGGAGAAAAAAGTGTTTTGTACATTTTCTTTTTAAATTGAGAGACAGTTGGGCCAGAGATGTAGCTCAGTGGTGCCGCACCTGCCTGGCAAGCAGAAGGTCCTGAGTTCGATTCCTGGTACCCGGGAAAAAAATAAATAAATAAATTGAGAGGCAGTTTTGCATTATTGTTACAGAGTATGAATCTAGGTCCAAATCCTGCTACTCTGGGAAAATTCTTTTAGCTTCTCTTTGTTTCAGTTGCTTTTGTGAGGTGGACTTTTTCTTTATATAGTTTATATTTAGTTTCATATAGTTGTGAAGCTTACATTATTTGGTATAAACCAATTCAGAAGTCCTAATACATAGTAAGTGTGAAGTAAATAGTTTCTGCTTTTCTCTTTAAAGCCAGTTTCTGAAGTAGTATTGTGGATCTTGGGCTTTCTGATGGCATAGGGAGTTATAAACATTTTACTGATGAACTATATTTTAGTAAGTCCATTTCTCTTTTCTTGATCAGTTTAGAACTGTTAGAAAGACAATGGCTGCAAATTTAATGCATTCAGCTCCACAGAACAAGCAAACCAGTAAGCTGGAGTGAATCTTAAGTTCTCAGTATATTACCATTTAACCCAATAAATAAATAAACAAATAAATAAATAAAAGAACAACAAATACTACCCATTCTTTTTCTCCTTGCCTTGCAACCAGATCAACAGGATGGTTCACATTTGGACAGAGACAGCTTTTTGTGTTTTTTGTGTTTTGTTTTAGAATGACAACCTAGACTTTGGTATGAATTTGGCACTGAAGTTGCTGGTATGGTTGTGATTGCTATCTGGTATAACAGATGTTGTACATTGAACTTCAAGTAGAGCTTTCCTTGGAATCAGAACTGACCATGAAAGAGTTACTAGCAAAGATGGGGGCCGGGGATTTAGCTCAGTGGTTCCGCCGCCTGCCTTGCAAGCGCAAGGTTCCAAGTTCAATCCCCGGTACCAAAAAAAAAAGCAACTACCAAAGATGGCATTCTTCACTCAATATAATTTTTAGAGAGGCTCTGCCACAGCTGCTTCTAGGTACATTAGGATTCCCTAATGTTATTTCTAAGTCAAAATCCAGGAATGTATAAACAAGGACAGCAGCAATTTGGTGACAGAGAACAAGGTGTTCATGTATCAGTCTGTTAAAAATAGCCTAGCAGCACTAGGTACAAGCTAGTAATAAGCTAGGCCAGAGGCCCGGGGTTGGTTTAATAAACTCATTTGCCCATGCCCAGCCTGAGAACAAAGGACATGTCCCTTTCCCTCATGATCTCTTTATTCTTCTGTGTTTGGGTTTGTTTCCCTGCTTCTTTGTTTTTCTATTACTCTCTCCTTGATGTTTTTCTTCTCATGTTTTTTGTCCTTTTTCCACTGTGTTTTTTGTTTTCATTGGCACCTAGTCCCTGACTCTGATTATCCAGTGTGGAATAATCCATTGTGGAGAGGATAACAGGACCTTTATACTCAGAATTAGAAAAATCCCTAAATCTTTCATTTTCTCATAGGATCAAATATTGTCTTCAATTAAGGGGAGCTAACTCGTAGTGTGTTTGATGAGAATGCTGTTACTCTTTTGGGTTAGGATAAATTTTTAACTAGAAATTGTAGGACAGTTCTCCCAATACCAGCAACACATTACCAATCATTGTGACCACCAAAAATGCCTTTACCTATTTCTAACCCCCACATACAAAATAGTGCTATAACCATTGGTTTAGATCCACTGCCAGCTAGACAATTAGAAACATGTTGCCCAAATGCTGAATTCAGCTGCTCATTATTAACCATTGTATATAATTTGATAGAGCAACTTAATTGGCAAAGCTTTTATGTCTGCGTAAAACCTAGCTATTAAAGCCACAAAAGTTGTTCAATTTGGGACTATACCAGCCACTTTTTATTTTTCAAAATCTACAATGTTAGGAAATCTAAAATATCTATTGCTAGGTTTTGCACATGTATATGAAATATTTTCTTTAAGGAAAATATCAGGTATTCATAAAGTTATTAGTTTATGAAATTAGTATGTACATATGAGCTTTTTTTTGGTACCAGGGATCGAACTCGGGACCTTGAGCTTGCGAGGCAGGTGGTGAAACCACTGAGCTAAATCCCTGGCCACAATATGAGCTTTAACTTTCTCAATGTATACTCATTTTTAATTTACAGAATTAAAGTATATCTCTTTAAAATGATTTTAAAATAGTACAAAATGCATGTATACTTTAGAATCCATATACTAATGATTTAAAAATCTGCATATTAAGTTTGATGTTACAGTTTGCTAATGTTATACAAATAATTAAGTTATGAAGTATCTTAATTCTTTTATTTTTCAGAGAAAAGATTTTGAAGAAAAGTGGTCATAGACTCAGCAAAACCAAACAGAAGAAAAACAGAAAAAGAAACAAAAAGCATGAGACTCTTAGTGAAATCATGGTTGAAAACTCATTTGAAGCCTTGAATTATCTTACCCCAAGAGATCAAGACCCAGCTCCAGGTGAAGAAGATTTTAAAGAGATCAAAAGAGAAACAAGTTTTCTCTTAAATAGTGGCTTACAAAATGAAGTAGGGGATTTTGTGAATGGCTATAAAGAAAATAGTTGGAAAAACATAGATCCTGAAGATTGCTTTCCAAATCTTATACCTACAGTTGAGTTGGACAGCCCATCAAAGAATTACTTCCCTAGGGAAGATGATGACTTGCTTCAAACTTTGTCATTAGTGCCAAATGTTACTTGTCCAACAGGGCTTCAAAATCTTCCTTCTGTAACAAGGAATTACTGCTCTGGCATGAAGGTTGAAAAGCATATTGGAAATAGGCATAACTTGGCATTAGATACCCAGGACCTATTTGCTGAAACCCCATGTTCATTTATGAAGAAGAGAGAGATGATAGATAAAAGTCTCTCAAATGAACCAGTTCCATGCTATCAACGTAGAACTTCAGATGTTTTAAGAGAGAAACAAGGAGTACACAAAACTAAGAACAATTATTGGGCTTTTTTCACAGCCAATTTATCTAATAAAGAATTACAAGTAGGCCCTGACAAACAATCCTATTTTGGTAGCTGGCCTGAGGGAACTCATATGTTTGTATGTGAACAAAGACCAAAGAAAGATAGATCACGTAAACTGACCTGTGCTGAGAGCAGGGAACAACTGATTAAATTGATTTCCACTTCTGAAGGAGCATCAGGACCAGGAAGTAGTCCAGAAATATCGATAGAGGAAATGCTACTGATAGAAAATGAAGATTTGTCATCTTCAACTGAAACTACAGATTCATTCATAGAAACAGAAACAAATATATTCAGAAGCTCTTTACTTCAACTGGATATCCCAAAGAGTTTCTCAGAACCAACAAAGAATAAGAAAAAGATACAGAAAAGGATTCTCAATTTGGCACCAAACTTTAATTTACTGGAACAGAGTAATATCAATGGAAAAGAAAAGGATAAATATGACCTATTAATAGAAAACTATGAACTAAGCACTATTTTGGTAAAAGAAAATGATAAAGTTTCAGAAATAAATAACAAAAAGGAGAACAGGCAAAAAGTTATGGCCTTTAACAATCATCCGTTGTGGTTTTTCCTTGGTATCATCGAAGATTCCCCTCTAGATATTGGTGGACAGTTTTATTCTCACTACCTGCCATTTAACAGACCAGGACACACTGTATATTTATACAAACACCCTGTTCCTTCTCTTGTACTACATTATATATCTAGCTTTTGGCTGATACTTTTTACCAACAAAAAAACATTTTTGACTTTCAAACCTCAGACACAATTAGGTAATAAACTCAATGATGTAGAGTTTATTTCTTCAGAACTTTTAAGTGGCCAACTTCAAATTTTGTGCTCTTTGAAGGTTACTTCTGAACTTTATTTTGTAAACAAACAATTTGGAGACAAGCCGAAGAGACAGGAAGAATCTAAGCCATTACAGTGCTTACTAACTAAGGATAGACAAGATTTAATAAGCACTGATTTTCATTTCCTTGGGCTACCATTATCACAAGACTTTGCCTTTCAACTAGTAAAGGTTTTTGGATCTCCTGGAGTTCCAATGGGTAAATGGATTTCACTTACTAAAAATAAATTATTGAGGTGTTTCTACCTGATGTTAACCATTTCATGAAATGTATTGATCTTGTGATGATCATACTTTCAATGGTAAAAGGACCCATCGCTAACAGTGCTTGGTTGTTAATTTATTTTAATTAATTAATTATTTTGGGTTTTTTGAGACAAGGTCTCACTATGCAGTTCAGGCTGATCTTGTATTCACTAAGTAGCTGAGGCTGACCTTGAACTCACAGTGATCCTCCTGCCTCAGCTTCCTGAGTGCTGGGACTATAGGTGTGTGCCACCAAACCTGGCTGTTTTTTAAAGCTCCTACTCCTTACCTTACCATCAATAGACATGTGTGTGTGTGATACTACAACCCCACCCTTTTTATCTTTTATTTTGAGACAGGGTCTTACTAAGTTGCTCGGGCTAAGCCTAAATTTATGACCCTCCTGACTTATCCTCCCAAAGTTCTGAGATTATAGGCCTGTGCCATTGGGGCTGGCTACCCATATCTTCTTAAATGTAATAGAATGCACAGAATACTTGGACTCTCCATTTAAATAGACATGAGAAAGCGTGAAGGATGAAAGACGGTGACAGTGATAGAAATGGGCTGCTTTTTCTTACTCTTTTGACTTACTGCCTTTCCCTTGTTTGGCGCATGGCCCTTTCTTTTCGCATTCACAATTATGGCTCCCAGATAAGGGATTAGTAAATTGGGGATAGTAAATAATAAATGTTGAAAAAATCTGAATTTATTTTTTAAAGATTGTCTGAGGAGGAAGGGTTCTAAAGAGATTAGGAGAGAGTCTGACTAGTTCCCTATAAAAGGTTCCTTCAGGCTCTTAAGAATATTATTCTTGGGCTGGGGATTTAGCTCAGTGCCATTGCGCCTGCCTCACAAGCGCAAGGTCCTGCGTTCGATTCCCAATACAAAAAAAAAGAGAATGTTACGAAGAAATGAAGCGTATATCCCAACTTTTACTTCTCAATTCTCTTCCTTAGGGATAGAAGATGTAAGAACCAAGAAGCCAAAGTTCCACTCCCTGCACTTCTGAATCTTCCTATTCTGTCTCTCTCTCTCTCTCTCTCTCTCTCTCTCTCTCTCCCCGCCTCCCTTCTGCTTGTCCCCCCTAGTTTGTCACTTTACCCCTAAAGTTCTAATGTTCTGGACAAACTTGTTCCCAGCAGCTCAGATCCAAGATTGACTAAGTTCCCAGGGCCAGGGAGTCATAATTACCAGCCTATTTTGGGATTCTCATGTCATCTTTATCGTATTTGTAAACTTTGTAAATGATCACATCTCAACCATTTGCTGTAATTTTTTTTATCTAAATACATGGAGGGGGGGACCTCTAAAAAAATTAAAATGCATTTGTTTTGGGAATTTTAAGTAATTAAAGACATTTTAGGTCAGAGATGTTAGTTCAAGGTTCAAATTCTGAAATTGTATACAAAATTTTTTGTGTGTCATTTTGTGTTCTTTCTTTTGGAGAAAGTACATAGATTAGTTAAGCTTATTAGTGGGGTTCATGACCCAAAAAGATTAACAATCACTGCTGTAGATCAGCACCAGAAGGTACAAAAGCACTGGTATAAAAATATTCTAAACTTCCTCCCTTGAATGCATATTATCATTATAATCAACAATGATCAGGCATCCATTAATTAAACTTTGGAAAGCTTTGTAAAGGAAATAGATCTCATTCATCAAATAGCTTTCCTTTTAAATGGCCAGACAAGACTAACACAAAATAAAATCACTGCATAGAGAAAATATAAATGACAAGCTTATGAATATTTTATGAGTGAGGTTAGCAATGCTTAAGGGATTGTTGAAGAGAATATGAGTTATGGTTTTCTTTGAGATGGCTTCAGTATGGAAGTGAATTAGATGCAGTGTTTATACAAAGAAGGAATGTGTCTTGAAAGAAAACAAAGGGAAAAAATTCACATTTGGAAATCGCATGTACTTACAAGGGGAAAGGAGGTAAGTGGAGGCTGTGAACTGATTTGTTGGGCTGGAGTGGACAACAAGCTAAGCTCCGATGTACCACTGGTGACTTTGTAAATAAGGCAGCGAGCTCAAATGAATCAGTATTAGGAACTCTGCTGACCTGGATAATGTAATAGAGCCATATATAGACCTTAAAAAGCCAAACTACATATAATTCTAGGACCATGTGAGTATAGGAAAAATATTTTTTATGGTTTGGTATGGCTGATGTTGTATGTTACAGTTATGTTAATGTTTGAACTTGTTTATGAGCATCTTAATTGTGAGGAATTAGCCCCCTAGACACTGATATGTAGAAGGAGCAATTTGCAGGAAGATTAAACTTCTAGAGTTGTAATGTTTCATCCATGTCACAAGAAAGGATGACTACCTAAATTTTATGATTGTGACAATAACACTTAAAGTATTAATATATAGGTATGTATTGATATATATGCATGTTTATGCTTATATGAGGATATGAAGTACGATTCAAATCATTTTACATATATAAAATATGACTTTTCATTGAGTCTGGATATTGTTTACTAATAGAGACATGAGAAAGTGCCTGTTAGTCATCACTGAAATATCTTTAAAACCAGACTTTTAACATTATAGCAGCCTAGATACTGTATTTGCATATCTTCATATCTAGGATGAAAATCTGTGTGAAATTAGAGATGAAATTTCTTACTCTCTTTTTTCCACAGAATCCTTGTTGCCTGATGAGTATGTGAGTCCTCTTGACTGGAAAACAGTGAAGATGATCTATTTGCAATGGAAGATGTCAGTAGAGGTATATTTTGTTTTTGTTTTTTGGTACCGGGGATCGAACTTGGGTCCTTGCACTTGGGAGACAGGTGCTGGAACCACTGAGCTAAATCCCCAGCCCCTAGAGATATATTTTGTATAGCTTTCAAAGAAAATTCTCTGAGTTTCTTTAAAAATAAAGCCAGAGAAAATATGTTCATCAGACTTAATAGACAAGTGCTACATCCCATATATTAAAGTACAAAATACTGGGGGAAGGTGGATTATTTTTGAAAATTAGAAGAATATTTGTGGCTAGGTAGGTACAATTTACATGTTTTCTTTCAATTAGACCCAAGAGAAAGCTGCATCTGGTTTTCTAATCTTGTTAAAATGAATTCGCACTGTGGATGACTCAGGTGTCCCTTTTAGCAGAGTCCCTTATTTTTCATTACATTTTTGGTCCTGTCCAGCCTTCAGTCTTATCCTGTTATGACAGAGTAACAGCTATAAATTAGATTCATATTTACTTGACTTGGAAGCATCTTGTTATTGGTGTGATCTGTTAGTCCATAGTGAAGGACATACCTGATTTTGAGGGCTATTCATTTTCTGTGTGGCTGGAAGAGGATTGGCTTGAACCATTAGAAAGTTAATAGATGGAAACTCTGGAAAAGCCAGTGCTCTAACATATATGGGGTATCTAGGGTTCATCTGATCATGTTAATCACTAATAATTTAAATGAGCTCAGAGACAATACACTTTGAAGTCATGAAATGAAAGCTTAGAGGACATTACAGAACTAATACTTTAGGACAGTAGGTATTTCTTACCTGTTTATATAAGTAAAACTGTAGATGTGTGTCTATTATAGTAAAACCAAATGTACATTTTTATGAACTTTTTATTTATCCTTATTCCCCATGGAGATTGTAGGGTTACTTACACACAGAGCAATACTTTAAATATTCAGAATGATGTTTGTGCAATAATGTTTCTTTTGTCATTTTAGGAAAATCTCTACATGAGTAAAATGACAGGGCAAACTTAACTCTATGCCAAATATGAATCATTATTTTATATATTTTAATTATAATTTTTAGAAAAGAAGATTTATAATTTTTAGACAGAAGATGACACTGGCTAGAACTGAGAATTCCTTGAACTGTAAGTATAAATTAT